CAACAACCCGAGAAACTCCGTCCTCGGCTCCGCCACCCACCTGCTGAGCTTTCGTGCTGACAGCACGAAGCATTTGCGCCTCCGCCACGGAGGAGAACGGCGCCGCGAGGCGTCAAAAAGGGTTGACGTATGCCTCACGTGATGCGCAAAGTGGCAAATTTCTCCCTCCGTGTGGATACCCCGGGGGTATCCACGAGAAAGAGAACTCCGCGGACGGATGTCGTTACGTCACCAACCCCGAAAACTCTGTCCTCGGCTCCGCCACCCACCTGCTGAGCTTCCGTGCTGACAGCACGAAGCATTTGCGCCTCCGCCACGGAGGAGAACGGCGCCGCGAGGCGTCAAAAAGGGTTGACGTATGCCTCACGTGATGCGCAAAGTGGCAAATTTCTCCCTCCGTGTGGATACCCCGGGGGTATCCACGAGAAAGAGAACTCCGCGGACGGATGTCGTTACGTCACCAACCCGGAAATCTCTGTCCTCGGCTCCGCCACCCACCTGCTGAGGTTCCGTGCTGACAGCACGAAGCATTTGCGCCTCCGCCACGGAGGAGAACGGCGCCGCGAGGCGTCAAAAAGGGTTGACGTATGCCTCACGTGATGCCCAAAGTGGCATATTTCTCCCTCCGTGTGGATACCCCGGGGGTATCCACGAGAAAGAGAACTCCGCGGACGGATGTCGTTACGTCACCAACCCCGAAAACTTTGTCCTCGGCTCCGCCACCCACCTGCTGAGCTTCCGTGCTGACAGCACGAAGCATTTGCGCCTCCGCCACGGAGGAGAACGGCGCCGCGAGGCGTCAAAAAGGGTTGACGTATGCCTCACGTGATGCGCAAAGTGGCAAATTTCTCCCTCCGTGTGGATACCCCGGGGGTATCCACGAGAAAGAGAACTCCGCGGACGGATGTCGTTACGTCACCAACCCCAAAAACTTTGTCCTCGGCTCCGCCACCCACCTGCTGAGCTTCCGTGCTGACAGCACGAAGCATTTGCGCCTCCGCCACGGAGGAGAACGGCGCCGCGAGGCGTCAAATAGGGTTGACGTATGCCTCACGTGATGCCCAAAGTGGCAAATTTCTCCCTCCGTGTGGATACCCCGGGGGTATCCACGAGAAGGAGAACTCCGCGGACGGATGTCGTTACGTCACCAACCCGGGAAACTCCGTCCTCGGCTCCGCCACCCACCTGCTGAGGTTCCGTGCTGACAGCACGAAGCATTTGCGCCTCCGCCACGGAGGAGAACGGCGCCGCGAGGCGTCAAAAAGGGTTGACGTATGCCTCACGTGATGCCCAAAGTGGCAAATTTCTCCCTCCGTGTGGATACCCCGGGGGTATCCACGAGAAGGAGAACTCCGCGGACGGATGTCGTTACGTCACCAACCCGGGAAACTCCGTCCTCGGCTCCGCCACCCACCTGCTGAGCTTCCGTGCTGACAGCACGAAGCATTTGCGCCTCCGCCAAGGAGGAGAACGGCGCCGCGAGGCGTCAAGAAGGGTTGACGTATGCCTCACGTGATGCGCAAAGTGGCAAATTTCTCCCTCCGTGTGGATACCCCGGGGGTATCCACGAGAAAGAGAACTCCGCGGACGGATGTCGTTACGTCACCAACCCGGAAATCTCTGTCCTCGGCTCCGCCACCCACCTGCTGAGGTTCCGTGCTGACAGCACGAAGCATTTGCGCCTCCGCCACGGAGGAGAACGGCGCCGCGAAGCGTCAAAAAGGGTTGACGTATGCCTCACGTGATGCCCAAAGTGGCAAATTTCTCCCTCCGTGTGGATACCCCGGGGGTATCCACGAGAAAGAGAACTCCGCGGACGGATGTCGTTACGTCACCAACCCCGAAAACTCTGTCCTCGGCTCCGCCACCCACCTGCTGAGCTTCCGTGCTGACAGCACGAAGCATTTGCGCCTCCGCCACGGAGGAGAACGGCGCCGCGAGGCGTCAAAAAGGGTTGACGTATGCCTCACGTGATGCGCAAAGTGGCAAATTTCTCCCTCCGTGTGGATACCCCGGGGGTATCCACGAGAAAGAGAACTCCGCGGACGGATGTCGTTACGTCACCAACCCGGAAATCTCTGTCCTCGGCTCCGCCACCCACCTGCTGAGGTTCCGTGCTGACAGCACGAAGCATTTGCGCCTCCGCCACGGAGGAGAACGGCGCCGCGAGGCGTCAAAAAGGGTTGACGTATGCCTCACGTGATGCCCAAAGTGGCAAATTTCTCCCTCCGTGTGGATACCCCGGGGGTATCCACGAGAAAGAGAACTCCGCGGACGGATGTCGTTACGTCACCAACCCCGAAAACTCTGTCCTCGGCTCCGCCACCCACCTGCTGAGCTTCCGTGTTGACAGCACGAAGCATTTGCGCCTCCGCCACGGAGGAGAACGGCGCCGCGACGCGTCTAAATTGGATGATATATGTCTCACGTGATGCGCGCTCCATGGAGGAAAGGGGCGGATTTCTCCTTCATGTGGATACCCCAATAAGGGCAGAGCTCACATGTCGTGAGCCATTCACTCTCGGGAAATTATGAAACTCTCAAGAACGTAATTGGAGGCAATTTTCACTTACAATCATATTGCCGCGCGCAGACTTGCAGAAGGTTCTCGTTTATTCTTGCTGCGAACATAACTTCTATCGTTTTTGTTGTTCTAGAAAGTGCGTGTTCATTCTCGCCCTAAGCGCGCTACGCTCGAGCCTTCCCCGCCGAATCTTCGAGATAGTGACTCACTCTAGATAAGAGGCCGCCCGCAACCTTGTCGAGTCAGTTTTCGCCCCAGCGTTCGACTCTGCTGACACGCCGACTTCGACGCCCGCGACGCTCTGCTTTCTTCTGTTTCCTTCTTTATTTTTGGCACAAGTTCGCCACATTAAACGTTTATTTATTTCTGTTTATTTCTTGTTTATTGGTCACTACCCGTGACATTCTGGTGGAGGTGCAGGGTACGTATCACCATGGATCTCGACGCGGGCAGTGCATCTCCCAACCGGCGTGATGAGGTGCCCTCCGGCGGTTCGTATTTGAGGTCCGTCCCACGGCGTCGTGACTTTTCGAAGACGGCGGGAGAGCCTCCCACTCAAGACTGAGTAGTCTGCTCCGGTGTCCACGAGTGCTGATGCGTCGTGGCCGTCGATAACAACGTTTAGGTTGTTGGACACCGATGCAGAAGCTTTGTTGCGATGCGTGGCGTCGGGAGAGTGGGAGCGCTTTGTCGTTCTTGGAGGCTCTTTACGTCGGTCGTCTTCGGCAACTCCACCTCCAGGGGTTGCCGCGCCTAGTTTCCCCGGCGAGGAGCGAGGGGTGACAGGCTTTCACGTCGGGGTCGGTGCATCGGCGAAGCTGGACGTCGTGGCGAAGGCGACCGGAACTCTCGGCGGGACGCAAGCTCGGGGGACTGAGGTCGTCGCAGGTACTCGTCGATCTCCCGAGGGCGTTCACCATACCGGGGGCGCGGGTCGTTTGGGGGGAATCCGCGCAGCCCGAGTCGTCGGTGTGGGCATCGGCGGTACACATGGTCAGCTTCCCCGCAGTGGTAACACAGCGGGCGTCGGTGGGCCGTCCTCCAGACGTCTGTCTTCCTCGGCCGCGCGCAGACTTGTAGAAGGTTCTCGTTTATTCTTGCTGCGAACATAACTTCTATCGTTTTTGTTTTTCTAGAAAGTGCGTGTTCATTCTCGCCCCAAGCGCGCTACGCTCAAACCTTCCCCGCCGAATCTTCGAGATAGTGACTCACTCTAGATGAGAGGCCGCCCGCAACCTTGTCGAGTCAGTTTTCGCCCCAGCGTTCGACTCTGCTGACACGCCGACTTCGACGCCCGCGACGCTCTGCTTTCTTCTGTTTCCTTCTTTATTTTTGGCACAAGTTCGCCACATTAAACGTTTATTTATTTCTGTTTATTTCTTGTTTATTGGTCACTACCCGTGACATTCTGCGTTGAGCTACGCCGCGATGGCCCGACGACCGCCGCAAGCTCCCCGCCAAGCCACTTCGCCACCCCGAAGAGACGCCCCAACGCCGCAGTACCCCCGACGACAGGAAGATCAGGCGCACGTTCACCCAGAGCAAGTCTGCGCGCGGCAATATCAGGCAGGCTAAATCGTCTAAACAGCTTCATGAGCTTTCCAATTTTGGTTTCGGTTGAGGTCCTGCTCATCGGCAAAACTTCGGGCCAATTAGAGTGCGAATTCACACTCACCAAAATGACGACTTTGGAAAGAGCCCGCCAAATTAGAGTACAGCCGTTACCAAAGTCGAGTCGGCAAAGACCAGAGATGCAGCGATGCCGGACCCGAAAGGCCTCGTTGTTGCTGGAAAACCTCGCACGTGTTGACCAGACGCTCAATGTCCGTGTTGACATCCGGCCACCAGGCGTAGCTGCGTGCAAGCTTTTTCATTCGGACCATCCTCAGGTGCCCCTCCTGCAGCTCTTCCAGTGGGCACTCCTTAAGTTCAGTTGAGGTTACCACCCACATCCCCCACAATAGACAATGCTGAGGCCATATCAGCTCGTTTCTTCTTGCGAAGTAGCATTTGAACCAGTGTTCTAGGCGTTACAAAAAAAGTAATGAAATACGTTACTCGTTACTTGCAAACAAAAGGAAGGCATTACCGACCTACATTAGCTCAAATCATCCCAACCAGTCATAATGATCCGTATTCAACACTTGTATATGTTGTGGCTTACGACCACGGTGCTTACGACAAGAGATAGGACGAGGTGCAGCCGATGTAGCTTCCAGAGCCAAACGGTTTTAATGTCCCGTGCATTCGTTTCGTCTCGCACATCCCAGGCGCGCGCTCACTTCTTTGCCCGCCGCCTCGCGCTATTTATTGAAACAATACTCAAACACAACACTCCTTCCCCATCAATGTTTTGGCTGACTCACACAAGAATACCTCTCCGGTGGCCTACGTTGTCGTATGCTACTTCGAAGCACTGGTGTGGTCGGTACCGCTGTCTCGGAAACAGGCTCCATATCGAGGGCAGCAGGCTCTGTCATGTTGTCTCGAGAACCACCGGACGCCCTTCGTGGTGTTGCAGCCGGATGTCGACATTTCTTCTCTGTGCAGACGAATCTTCGAAGTGTCTCGGACGGACATCATCCACGTGCACATACCGATGCTGATCTTGCACTATCACGACGTAGGTTGATGCACTTACTTTCTTCATAACACGTCCCACCAACCATGCAGGATCTGTCGGACGTGATCCCCGGACGAGGACTTGGTCGCCTTCTTCGAAAGTTCGCCAAGAGCCTCTTCTCATGTCGGCGGCTGTCTTGATTTGTTGCTGGCGATCTCTCATGCGTCTCTCCATTTCAGGATGAAGGAAGCTCAGACGGGTCCTAGGCTTCCAAGAGAGAAACAGCTCGGCTGGAGTTTGGTCGGTCGTACCAGTTGGGGTGTTTCTGTATGCAAACAGGAACTGGTCGACTCGATGTTGCATCGATTTCGATACACCCGTCCGTTGCTCGTCGATTACCTGCCTCAGGAGGTCCCGCTTGACGGTTTGCACACACCGTTCCGCGCTTCCCTTTGAGGCGGGATGGTACGGAGGACTTTTCGTGTGGCGTACCCCATTCATCGACAGAAACTCTACGAACTCTGTCGCCACAAACTGGGGTCCATTGTCTGTCACTACCTCTTCTGGTAGTCCAAACGCGGCGAAAACACTTCGCAATCTTTCGATAGTACATTTTGTCGTAGTAGAACTCATTAGAAACACCTCTACCCACTTTGAATGAGCATCTACGACAATCAAAAACCAGTTCTGATCCCGGTATGCAAAATCAAGATGCACCCTTTGCCATCTGCGCGTTGGCCAACCCCACGTTAATAATGGAACACGTGGTGGCGCGTTCTGCGTTAGTTGACAAGTACTACAGTTTTTGACAGTGTGTTCGACATCATATGTTATCAAAGGCCACCACACGTGACTATGTGATAGCATTTTCATTCTGGTGGTGCCTGGATGTCCCTCGTGCAACAGGGACAACACTTTTTCCCTAAACACTTCGGGAATGATCACTCGATTTCCCCATGTTACACACCCTTGGTCAACCGACAATTCGTGACGGCGCACAAAGTACGGTTGCAATGCCTCATTATCCACATGTGAAGGCCATCCGTTCAGTGTGAAAAACAACACTCTTTTCATCACACTATCCTTTTGAGTTTCTCTCCTAATTTCACGAGCTGACAATGGCACTTCGTCCACCGCCGAAAAGAAACTGACGTAGTCTGAGCTATCGTTCACGTTGGGCAAAGGCAGACGTGACAGCGCATCAGCATTCTGAATCTGGCTACCCTTCCGATAAACCCACTTGTAACTGTAGGCAGCAAGTAAGAGAGCCCACCTCTGCATCCTGGCTGCTGACATCGCCGGAATTTGTTTTTCATGACCTAACAGCCCTGCCAACGGCTGGTGATCCGAATAGATGCTGAAATTTCTGCCATACAGATACTTGTGAAACGTTTTCAACCCAAAAACAACTGCTAGGGCCTCTTTTTCAATTTGGGCGTAACCCTTTTCAGCCTTGCTCAGAGTTCGTGATGCATAAGCAATCGGTTTCTCATCATTCCCAACTCTGTGAAAAAGAACCGCTCCCACTCCGTACGCTGAAGCGTCACATACAAGCCCCAATTCCTTTTTTGGGTCATAGAACGTTAAGACGTTTTCATGCGTAAGCCACGCCTTACTTCTGTTGAATGCGTTGTCTTCTGCCCTTGACCAACGCCATTTTGTGCCCTTCTGTAATAAGTCATACAACGGCTTCAGCTCGGTTGACATGTTCAGCACAAACTTGCCATAAAAGTTAATCATGCCCAAGTAGGCGCGCAGTTCTGATTCATTTTTGGGGCATGGGGCCTCCCGTATGGCCTTTACTTTCTCTTCCGATGGTCGAACCCCATATTGATCTATCACATGTCCCAAATAATGAACAGACGTCTGAAAAAATCTACATTTTTCTTTCTTTAGTCTGATGCCTTGTTGGCTGAACCGTGCCAGCACGCTTTCCACCTTTTTGTAGCAGTCCTCATAAGTTTCGCCCGCTATTAGTACATCGTCTAGATAGCACGCGACATTTCTCAGCCCTTCCAGTACTTTGTCCATGACGGACTGAAAAATTGCAGGAGCACTAGTGATGCCGTAAGGCAATCTCGTGGACTTAAACAAGCCAAGGTGTGTGTTCACAGTGACCAAATCTTGTGACTCCGGATGCAATTCCAGCTGCTGGTAGGCTGTAGACAGATCAAGTACGGTAAAGTACTTACAACCACTCAGTAAAACGAACAAGTCTTCCATGAGCGGGAGAGGGTAGTGATCCGTCCGACAGACTGGGTTTAAGGTCACTTTGTAATCTCCACACAACCGGACCTGTTTGTTTGGTTTAGGTACCACTACCAAAGGTGTCGCCCACTCACTTTGCAACACTGGTACCAGTATTCCTTTTGTTACTAATGATTGAATTTTCTGCTCCACAGCTTCTCTTAGCGCATAGGGCACAGGTCGCGGTTTGCAGTAGACAGGGGTGCTTTGTTCCTTCAAAACCAGTTTGACCTGTTGTCCTTTTATCAAACCCACACCTTCTCCAAAAAGTTCAGCGTACTTCTCAAGGAGCCTTGCTTCCTTTTCTTCTCTTACACTGTTTACGCATGACCAGTCTAGCCTCAGCTCTTCTAGCCAGTCTCGACCAAGCAGCGTGGTTACGTTGCCCCCTGGTGCCTTAACTACAATAAGAGGAAGTGTCTTTCTCTGTCCATTGTGCTCGACTGGTACTGACAACTTCCCAGTCACCGTGAGAAAATTCCCCCCATACGTTCTCAATTTAAGGTTGCATGGCTCCTTAGGAATGTTTGCCCAGTATTTCACACACCACGATTCTGGCACTACCGACACGGACGCTCCAGTGTCTATCTTCATTCTTACGAGCTTGTCGGCTACTTTAACATCTACTTCATAGTTACGCCTTCCCGTTTCACACACGTACACTGTGTAAAGCTGCATATCATCAGCTCCCTCACTTGCGACGTGTTTAACGGAGTCTGTTTTGAACCTACAAACTTTTGCCAGGTGTCCGACCTTTTTACAGACATGACATTTGTACTTGCGGTACTTGCAGGGCTGTCCAGTGTGTACCTGTCCGCAGTAGGAACATGAAGACGTGGTGTCTCCCGTATGCCCGGATGTCTGTTTAGTCGTGGAAGCTCGTGGACCCTTATTTGACTTGCGCCACGGTTCCCTTTTCTGTTGCCGAACCGCGTTCACGTCGTCTTCTCGTTGGCTAGACGACCTATGACGACCTGCAGTAGGCTGAAACGTGATGGTTTCCTTGCGTGCGAGCTCGATGCTTTTAGCAATGTCACACGCGGCACCAAACGTCAACGTCGTCTTCTTCAATAAGTCGGACTGTGTTTTCTTGTCTTTTAATCCCGCGACGAACCTGTCGCGCAAAGCATCATCCAAGAAACTGCCGAACTCGCAAGTCGACGCGAGCCTCTTCAGCTCCACTGAAAAAGTGGCTACCGTCTCCTCTTCCTTTTGGTAGCGACGGTTAAACTTAAACCGCTCTGCTATCACCATCGGCCTCGGAGCGTAATGACCTTTCAGAACCGCCACCAACTCCTCCCAGCTTTTCTCTTCTGGTTTGACCGGATGGAGTAAAGTCTTAAGAGTCTTGTACGGTTTCTGGCCAATTGCGGTGACAAAAGCAGAGAGCCTTAGGGCTTCGCTTACCTTTGTAGCCTTTAGGTAGTGTTCGAATCTTTCGACGTAAGATTCAAAATCTTCGTCACCATCCTCCACAAATGGATCAAACCTTCTCAACCCTGCCATGTTCGTTCGTCCTTGCCGTGGCCCGGTGGATTCCTTCTCCGATGCCCGTTGCAGTCGTGATGGACGTTCCATACCTCGTCGCCAATTATGTTGTGGCTTACGACCACGGTGCTTACGACAAGAGACAGGACGAGGTGCAGCCGATGTAGCTTCCAGAGCCAAACGGTTTTAATGTCCCGTGCATTCGTTTCGTTTCGCACATCCCAGGCGCGCGCTCACTTCTTTGCCCGCCGCCTCGCGCTATTTATTGAAACAATACTCAAACACAACAGTATAATATACCTCGGCGTAGCAGACATTGATGTTTTTAATCCGTTTTGTGGCGTTTGTAACAAACTTTTGATTAATCTGTTCTTGAAGGTGAACATTTCGACAGATTTGATTAATCTGTTCTGCATTATGAAGGCGTCAAGCAGTTCATGAGCACAGAAAACAAACAAGTGAATCAATGAATGAATGAAAAGGGACGCGTTATCGTTATTGTTAAAAATAAAGGCACTTTACTTTTGCGTTACTTTTTTAATGATGAATCAAAAAGGTTTCACGCTTCGACGTTACAGGTATGGATAAACGTCATATTCCAAGAAACATTAGGTTCATCTAGAAACTGAACATAATTACCTGATCTTTTTTTACGGTTACATCTAAATACTCGAGAGAGATAATACAAATAAAAATGCAGAAAACTAAAAAAGTACGTGGCTTGGTGCTTAGAAACATGAAAAAAGTTAAGTGTAATCGTTTTAAAGTTTTGGGAAGAATTTGTAACGAGTAACGTAACTAAGTTACACGTTACTCGCAATAAGTAACGAAATGACGTTGCCTGCTGCCGTTTTAAAAATGTAACGAGTACGTTACTACGCTACGGGTAACACCGTTACTTTTAATGCGTTACCGCCAACACTGATACTAGCCAATCACATTTGTGGGCGAGGCGCCCGCCAAACACCTGGCCACTTGACAAAGCTCTTTGTCTTTTGCTGTCACTTCAGTTATCTCCTGGCTGCTCACATGAAATGACTTCGGGCGAAGGCTAAAAAAGGCCACGACGTCATCCTCGCTGCTCTCCTCTTGGGGACCAGGAAATGAAAGCCCGACAAGCAGTCCGCCTCCACGTTGAGTTGGCTTGGCCAGTATATGAACCGGTACTGGTAAGCGAGAAAGTGATTGCCCATCTAGATGTGCCGTGTCAATGCTCGGTATCCCTCTCTTCGGACCCAGCATAGTTTGCAGCGGTTCCTGGTTTGTGACCAACACAGAAACCGCCCAAAAATTTACACGTGAAATTTCTTCACGCCAAACACACTAGTGCCCTTTTTCTAGCTCACTATAATTATTTCCACTCGGGATCAGTGTTCTTGACGCAGACGTGGTGGGTCTCGTTAGGCGTTGGCGTAGACCCTGGAGAGGACAGCTCTGGATCTGTCGATGCGCCCTATGCGACTTGGAGCTCTTCCTTGGGGTCATAGTAAGTGAACAGGTGCGTCGAAATTCCGTCACCGTGTTAAAAGCGTCTTGACCAGGGTGTAAGATAGGCAGGTGGTGAAACAAGAGCCTAATGAGCGACCGGATTGTGTCCCCCTCGGTTTTCTCTTTTTCTGTGGCGCCATCTATGTGGAGCACCGCGAACTTTCACTCCAGGTGGGCGAACGCTGGCGACCGGTTAAACTGACGGAGATGGTTTCTCGTGGATTTTTAATGGAGGACTGCCGTGTTCTCAGTTTATTCTGCGCACTCTCCCATAAAGTTCCATGCAAATTCGATTCCAATTTTTTTCTTCTCGCCGCAGCGCCATCTGTCGCAAATCGGGGGTACCCGCAAGCAGATGAGTACACAATCCGGTCACGGCGCTGCGGTAGGCTTCTATGGGCCGTTTCCCCACCTGTCTATCTTACACCCTGGTCTTGACAGCGTTCACACCAGTACCAGGCGACGTCCTTCCTCAGTAGCTCGTGCAATGACGCTAACCTGCTGGACAGGTCGGGAAGGAACGTCCCATGAAGCAATATAATTCCCAGGAACGACCGCAGCTATTTGGAGTATTATGGTGAAGGCGCACTGAGAATCGCTTGCACGTTAGCTTGCGATAAGTCTATTCCTTGGCCACTAATTTGATGTCCCAGGAACTTGAGAGTGGATCTAAAGACTCGCACTTTTCTTCCTTGACTCGGGCGCCCTTACCACTCAGCCTCTTCAGTGCCTTCTCAAAAAAATTAAGCTGATGCACGGACGTTTTTCTGTTATAAAAATATCGTCGAGATATCAGGTAACACGTTCGAGGCCCGCGAGCAAGT